CGCGCTGTCAATCTTATTAGATCTCATGAAACTGATGAGGCTCCTAAAGAGCAAGCTTATACTATGTAATATCCGAGGACATACACTGTACTGCCATCTAATGGGTAGTTACTGTTACTTCATGTGTTATACAAGACCTTATTGAGGTATTAACTTGCCAAACTAAAACTACCATACACCTTACATACATTCTTAACACGAAAACCATATCAATAGCATTTATTGAGTTCTTAGTTCTTAGTCAAAAATTTATCAAAACCAGCAGACGCAGATCGCGCTGTCAATCTTATTAGATCTCATGAAACTGATGAGGCTCCTAAAGAGCAAGTCTATACTATATAATATCCCAAGACATACACTGTACTGCCATCTAATGGGTATTTACTGTTACTTCATGTGTTATACAAGGCCTTATTGAGGTATTAACTTGCCAAACTAAAACGACCATACACCTTACGTACACGTACGTGCTTGGCATGAAAACCATATTAATAACATTTATTAAGTTCTTAGTCAAAAAATTATCAAAACTACCAGACGCAGACCGCGCTGTCAATCTTATTAGATCTCATGAAACTGATGAGGCTCCTAAAGAGCAAGCTTATACTATGTAATATCCGAGGACATACACTGTACTGCCATCTAATGGGTAGTTACTGTTACTTCATGTGTTATACAAGACCTTATTGAGGTATTAACTTGCCAAACTAAAACTACCATACACCTTACATACATTCTTAACACGAAAACCATATCAATAGCATTTATTGAGTTCTTAGTTCTTAGTCAAAAATTTATCAAAACCAGCAGACGCAGATCGCGCTGTCAATCTTATTAGATCTCATGAAACTGATGAGGCTCCTAAAGAGCAAGTCTATACTATATAATATCCCAGGACATACACTGTACTGCCATCTAATGGGTATTTACTGTTACTTCATGTGTTATACAAGGCTTTATTGAGGTATTAACTTGACAAACTTAAACGACCATACACCTTACATACGTGCTTGGCACGAAAACCATGTTAATAACATTTATTAAGTTCTTAGTCAAAAATTTATCAAAACCACCAGACGCAGATCGCGCTGTCAATCTTATTAGATCTCGTGAAACTGATGAGGCTCCTAAAGAGCAAGTTTATACTATGTAATATCCGAGGACATACACTGTACTGCCATCTAATGGGTAGTTACTGTTACTTCATGTGTTATACAAGACCTTATTGAGGTATTAACTTGCCAAACTAAAACTACCATACACCTTACATANGTACGGATTATACGCTCCTCACCGGTTAAGAGTTTGGCCGAGAGTTGTCTCCTTTCTTTTCTGGCCTAGTACTGTTCTTTTCTACTTTGCGCCGGTCAAACTGAAGGTCACATCGCTACAGAAAGTAAACGAAATAAACCTTTGACTAGCGAATTTCATTAAATACGCACTCTATTTTTTTATGTGCCTTCCAATATCCTTTAATTCAAAACATATAAAAAATTCATAATGGTTCAAACATAAACTCATACCTCCAATTGTGTATTATATGAATTTTTTTCAATTTTGGTCCCTCTCTGAGATGAACACTACACTGTAAGAAGGCCGAAGTTTCATAAATAATAATTTGAATATTATGGATGAAAAAAATCTTATTTCAATGAAAATTCCTTGACTCTTCACAGTTTTCCGGCTTTTCAGAAAGTGGTCGATTTGAATAAAACACATAGTGCAGATGGAATAAAAAAATTATAACAGTTTTTCCGGAATAAAGTACGTGTGGAGAACGAGAACTGGAGATTGAAATGTACTTAAAAAAACTGCGGGAACCGTAATTTTTTTAGTTTTCCGAGATGGAAAAGTCAGAATGAATTTCAAATAAGATTCGTTACGAGTATTGAATTCTACAAAGCACTCCCCATTTAGCCATTTCTACTATATCTCTTCTAATAGCCGATGAACATCGAAATGTGCACCCACTCATATGTATGGATTGTATTATAAGTAATACCATTACTAGTAATATACCAATAAATAATTCACGAATTGTATTTAAATCTCGGAAGATATTGATAGAATAAAATTGACCTACCGTACTAGTTGTATTAAAGATAATCAAATTGAGGGTGTCGGTAGTTAAATTCTTGTGAACAAAATGATGAGCTGGTGTTTTTACATTTATTATACTTCGTTTACTTTCTGTAGCGATGTGACCTTCAGTTTGAAAGGCGCAAAGTAGAAAAGAACAGCACTAGGCCAGAAGAGGGAGGAGACAACTCCCGGCCAAACTCTTAACCTTTGAAGAGCGTATAATCCGTACAGTACTGCACGGAAAAATTGACCACTTTATCCACTACAATTGCATTGCTCAAATGTGCTGTTATTGGTACCATTTACTACTGAAAATATCAGCGAGATGTTTATTTATATTTGAAGATATATTAAAGGCTTTAACGCTTGTTTTTGACTCGCACTACTATTCATGATTGAACAAAACTTTTGGCAGGTACTGTATGAAAAAGTATGTTTAATGAAAAAGTCTAGAGAATAATGAGCTTTTTTCTCCCTACCTACGATTTTGCCAGCGCGCATCCAAGACATTGGAAGGGATACATCGCTAGAGAAAGTAAATGAAGTATAACTCTCAAATTATCGCCAACAATCTTGGCTTCACCGAGAGATCACTAAGAAATATAAATGAGAAGTTGAAAATTTTACTTGTTGTAAATTAAATGTTTATAGGCATAATTAATCTAACTGTAAACTTATGGGAATGAATTATATATGTAAATTACACTTAAACCATCATGACAAAAGTGATCTCCAGATGAAGCCAAGAATGTTAGCGAAAATTTGAGAATAATGTAACAACATCAGCCCATCGTTTTGTTCACAAGAATTTACCTACCGACACCCTCAATTCAATTTTCTGATATTTATAGAGTTTTATCGTCATTCTTTCTTTTAGAATCCTATCAATTATAAAGAAATGAAATCATTTCATTAGACTTCCACGTAATTTTGTAGTTAGGCTATTTCTTATTTGTATGTACTGTAAGAAGCTAATCTGAGGTTAATAGGAAGAAGAAGTCATCAATTTATAGAAGATTCTCGTGAACTTTCAATGTGTTCTGCTAATTAGGGGATTGCAACCGGTAGAGAATTTTATGCGAAAAATGCGTTAATGACAATAGTTTAATCTGTTTTGTAATGGTCGGAACCTATGGCGCTTAAATCTAATAAAATTCCTTTG